CTGACAGAAATAAACAATGCATAAAATATAAAAAAACAAAATTTTCTCAAATAATTACCGTTAAATTGTTAAAGCTTCTGTGCACTTAGAGGATGTCCAATGAATTAGCGAGAGTTTACCAAGTTGTTCTTCTTAGCCGCGGGGGAGGTAAGCTGCCAATGATTGCCACTATACCTGCTGGTCGATTGCCTTTTTAAGCGAAGGAGAAACTGCTTGCATACGTTTAAATAAAGAAAAGTAAAGAAGAAGAAGAAGAAGAAGAAGAAGAAGAATGAAAGTCTGGGCCTGGGTAAGGATCGAAGACTAAAGACGAGACGAAAAAAATAATGAGAACACTAAGGGAGATAACAAGAGCAAAGCAATTCAAGCTTCTCGATCTTGCTGGTTGGACATTACTCAAACATTCTTGACAAATATATAAAGGTTTAACGATGCCGGCATCATAAGTGACGTGCACGCGAGCATTTAAGCCTTAGTTCTCTCATCGTTTTGTTTTTTCGTGCTTTCTCTTTCTCTTGGTCTCTCTTATTATATTATTATATTATATATAGTATAAAGTGTACTGAAGAGCTCTCTCTAGTTCTGTATGGAACCTGGGGCGACACTTGCTATAACTCATTTTCATTGAGACGTCGTCAGCTTTACCTGAGTTTTTAGAAATTCGCTCCCGCACTTCGGTAGTATCTTAAGGATATCATTTATAAGAAAAAAAGCATACAATTTTATTTTATTTACCTTCTTTTCAATGCTATATATACACAGAAAAAAAATTAACTTTAATCAATAGATTACTTAAAATTATTTGAAAAGTTTTATTGTCTTGAATCAAGACGAAAAATTTTTAAATCAAGTAAAATTTACTTAAATCAAGAAAAATTTTTTAGTTTAAGAATTTTTTTACTCAAATCAAGAAGATGAAGTTCTTCAAAATTATTTACTTGATTCATTTTAATTTTTTTTTTCTGTGCATTGGTCACTATCATAATGATCATTAATATCAAGTTCCAAGAATAACATAGCAGTAAGTAGCTTCTGAGACTTTAATGCTTTTAGCTACATCATCAAGAGACGCAAAAAACTCTGAAGAATATTAGCAGGACTTATTTGCATGGCTCTCAATTAGGGAACTTGTACCTTTGGCGAGCTGATTTGTATCATTCGATCTCGTGTAGCGTGGGTTAGCCGATTCTTTTTCGTAACTGGGACGTGGAAACAAAGACAACCTTTGTAATCTGACAATCGACTGTATTTAATTTCATCTACTTAGCAATGTTTATCTATATCGAAGAGTATCAGATTTATAATTAGTGTTTTTTATTTTCAATAATGGCCCAATTTTTTACATACTACGCCTTACTCTCACCTGAAAATCTAAAATTCTTAAATTCGTCATTTAAAATGTCTTTAATATATATATAAAATAAATATATTTAAATAATTGCGTTTTAGAACCATAGTACAATAAGAAAAAATATCATTCGGCTTCACCCGAAGTGTGAGGTAGATTTAATTTGATATAAAATTCTCTTTATTTTTGCTATTATAATTTGTTAAAAACCAAATTTTTAAATTAATTACAATAAAGAAGTTCTGTAAACGTTTTCTTAGTGTATTTACTATTTGGATAATTATCTTTTGGACTAGTTCGAAGATGAGTAAAATCTATCTAACAATACTAAATATAACTTTAGAGATGAATCAAATTTTTCAGAAAAATAATTTGGAGTAATTTTTAAGACTTATTTTCGACTTTTCATTCATAACTTTTTTGGTGGTGTCTATACTAGTAAGATCTAAGATTTGTCATAAACATCTATCTCTAAGAAATTTTTTAAACTTATTTATTACTTGGCTTCTAAATTTTTTTTAGCAATGCCTGTTAGAAGATGATTTGAACTTGTCATAAAATATAGTTATTTTCGATACGTATGCGCAAAGATAGATATTTTGGTAAGCTTGAGGGACGTCACGAGGCTGAGATTATGGGGACATTATCCACAAAACCGAGTACGTTGTTATCGGTGGAGCGAAGCGAGACCAGATATTACGTACGAGGCTTTGTTGAGAATGTATCCATAACCTCAGACGAGTGTCATCACTTCAAGTTTATTACTAAAATACCTTTGCGGACTTGTATCGAACAAAATTTTTTGTAATATCAACGGCGAAACTCGGATTCGAGAAAATAAAAAAAAAATTTATTAAAGTTCAAAGCAATATTTTTAAGCAGATATAAAAATCTTGTTTACAAGAATCGACTTGTCGCCAAGATTTTTTTTTTTTTCGATTTATACTTTCCTTAATGGACGATTGTATAAGTAAACGAAATTAAATATCCTATATAGTAATTTTTAGCATCCGCGCGTGCGGGAATATAATATAGCTGGCCAGATATCATTCATTTTACCCCTCCCAACTATAGCTCGAAAATCCAAGTTTCGCGGTTGGTATTACAAAAAGTTATTTGAAGGCATTTTAGGTAATATATTGTAAAATGATGTATTTTGAGTTAAGAAACGGTTTGTTTAAAATATCAAAAGAACATGCACTATGTATACTCACGTTTTTTCAAGTTAAACTTTATACTAAAAAAGGTTCAAATAATTGAGATCATGATAAATATTGCAATGTTAAGTTTCTAATAAAGAATTTTGATTTAAGACATTTTTTATCTTTTTGAAATATATGCTTAAGAAATGCATGTTGAGATGTGCTAAAATTTAATCATATTTTAATAACAGGATAGATATGATATATTTTAATAGCAGCCTTAAATTTGTAACTTAAAAAGCTAAAAGCTTAAAATAAAGAAGCATGATAAAATTATTTGAATAACGTGTTCGGTAGATTGGAGCTCGTTAGGTAAATATCGATTAGATCGGTTAATCATTGCAAAGTTGAGTAAGGTGTAAGGTGTATTATCGTTATTGCGCATGTGTGCGTGCGAATATATTTGAATGCAAGTGTCGCGTGGTTGGTGCGTGCTACTGCGCTTGAGCGAGTGCGCTGTAACCAATACAAAGATGTATCTCATAGCCAGTAAGTGTGCCAGCATCACCCACACATCGTGTATCGTTAGCTGACTCATGTATGGATACTTAACGCTTTAGAAATAGTGGGGGTGTTTTTTTTATCTTCATCACACTTACTGTTAACTTCTTTCCATATTATTCGTCATCTCACTTTTTTCTTGTGGACCGACTTGCTTGTTCCATCTTTTTCTTTCTTGGTCGGTTGTTCACTCTCATCTGATCCTATACAAGTCAAACGCCTACACGTTGTAGTTGCAGCATCCACACTTTGACTTTGCTCCGCAGTCAAGCGCGTGCCTCCACGCGACCAACCACCACCAACCACTGGTTCGAGAACGTGAGACAACGCGAAGAGTGACAGAGTGAGCTTATACCTTGCAAATATAGTCGAAGAGTATTAAGGATTATGGATAAATAAATGTGAATGATAATCATACCGCCGATCTTATTTATTTGCCATATCATAATTGTTCCCTTCGTCGGCACACTAATTATCTTGTAATTTAATGAATTACTTCAAAGTAATAACTTTTGAGCATGAAATTGCATGGTTAAAGTATAACTATTTGCATTTTATTTTTGAATAATTTTAAGAGCAACAGCTAATATCATGGACTTAAATTGCCAATAATTTGCATATATTTGACTAATTTTAACTATGCAAATTTCGTGTCCAAAAAAATTTAATTTGATCATGAGACAAAAAAGTGATGATTGAAAATTTTTTTAAGTTTTATTGTTATCAAGTGAAAACAGTGACAAAATATCGTTATTTGTAATTAATTTTTTCCAATTTATTTCGCAAGATTGCAATCAGATTCTACAAAATTTTACAACTTGTGGTTTCTGTTAGCCGATATGTTTTTTGCCCTACCTTGTTGTTCTCCGGTTTAGGAGCCACTGTATATCCTTAAATGATTTTTATCTGAAGAATAATGATTTTTAATGTTGTAACTGGCTTTAAATAAAAAAAAAAAAAATTTATCGAAAAATAAGAAACTAACGTGGGTGATTAATTTGGTTATTTATGTGTCTGGCGATGTTAATACACCTTGGATAAATTTATAATATTTTAATAATTACTCAATTATTTAATGAAAAAACTCGGTCTGTGCAATCGGTGAAAGTTAATTATACTTTTTAAAGCTATATATTTACATTGCTAGCATACATGTTAAACTAGATGAATAAAAAAATTCATCAAACAAGTTCATTAGCATAAAGATACATTTTTTATAAGTTTATTTACTCAGTAAAGATGGTATACAATAAAATATAATAATCAACTTCTTTTTTTCTGATTTACGATATAAGCTTGGATTCGATTCGATTCATAAAGAAAGTTAAGAGCCGTTTCAATGGTCTGAAAGCTTTGATTAGATCAAACGATTTGACGTGTCAAATTTTAAATGAGCCGGCTCGAAAATTGTTTTATTTTGTGTCCTCGTTGTTAGCATTGAATAAAAATCGTATCCTGAGTGTTTTTTGATAGTTTTAATTAGGTATTAGTTATTTTTAGTTAGTGAATAATTGCAATATAGTGAGTGGCTGAATCGATCATTATCAACGGGTAGTCTTAGTGATCACTGATCACGAATATTGCGTGTAGTAGAACGAGTGGATTGAATATTGACAAGACTTACTATACGTCGGTGTGGGTAGAGGAATGGCGCCAACCTGTTGCTCAACAGAGTTGCGGACTACGTGTTCTTGTTTAACGCCAAGTTGAACTGAATGCAATTTCTTGATTGACATCCGGAACCTCTAGCGATTGAAAGGAACCGCTAGCAATGTATTGGCTTGCTGTAATGCATTATATTACTTGAGAGATAATGACTTGTTGCCGTCTTTGATTACACATTCTAAGTGGTTTCAGAAAAAAAGGAAAATACATCAGTAACTTGAGGAACTACCATTAGAACTATTCATGACTTTGTTTGGAATTTTGTTGAAAAATTAATCAGCAAAATGGCTCGGTGGAGCATTGTTTTAATGATACTTTTGGGAATTGCTGGTAGTGTCTCGAGTACAACAAAAAAATTGTTTGAGTGTCGCGCTAATCTCAATGCGGCATTAAAGAATGAGAGTGTATTCTTGACCAAGATTCATCAAGCGGATTATATCTTTACCGGAAAGATCAAGGAGTTGAGAGCGAATGAGCTCCACGTGAGGGTGAAACGTGCCATCAAAGGCAATCTTAATAGCACGATGATTCTTGTACTCAATGACACTTGTGAATCTTATCTGAGAAGAAGTTTTACTGGAATTTTTATGGCTCGTCGCATTCATAGTTCTGAAAATTCTCACAATTCTGGAAAAATTTTTATGAATTTTGGCCCTATATCACTCACTTTGATGAATTTGGATAAAATAAATGCAGCTATTCGAGGTATGCATACAAATCATATATGTTGAGTTAAAATATCAACAATTTTTTTTTACTGTTATGAAAATATGTTAGTATATCATGTTTTAAAAACACTCTTTCAAAATTGGGTTGATGAATAGTCTGGAAATTCCAAGTCAATATTTTAATTTCTAGAGGTTGCTTAAAATTTACTTAAGTTAGTACCTCCGCGACAATCCAGATAAAAAATTTTGACTTACTATCCATGTTATACGTATCGACAGAGCTAAGGTCGTAGGTTAAGATTTTTTAACGTTACTGTACTCGTCGACTACTATATTCTCTATACATATGTTTTTCGTACCCTCTCTCCTAAAAATAATCCTCTAAAAGTAAAATTTATTTTAATTAATATCGAAAACTACATGGTAAATAATTTTCATTTTTTTTTAATGGTTCGAAGTATCATATTTTTCAATCAACTAGTTTTTCGATAAAGTCGTAAAATTCCTTCGATGGAAAAAATTAAAAATACTGTCATTTTTCAACGTTTCTCCTACACAGAAAAAAAAATGTTCTTGAGTCAAGTATATATTTTTGAAGAGCTCGCAATATTCTTGGTTTGAGAAAAAAAATTCTTGATTTAAGGAAATTTTACTTAATTCAAGAATTTTTCGTCTTGATTCTAGACAATTACTCTCTTCAAAATTATATTCTTGGTTCAAGAATTGTTCTCTTAAATCAAGCTAATTTTTTTTTGTGTATGTTACATGAACAAAAATGTCATTTTCAATTGCAATTATCTCAAGTTAGGTACGGTAAATCGTCTTCAAATTTTAACAGCATATGTATTATGTATTTAATGACTTATATTCAAAGTTTCGAGGATTTCTTAAAATATTGCTTTCATAACCGTACTACCTTAACTTTTAAAGTAGTAGTTTTCTAAAATTTTTACGAGTTATCATATCCAATCCAAAGAGTTATTTCAAGTTTAGATCGGTAAACGAAAACATCTAAAAAAAGACTATTTTAAAAGTAAAAAAAATTTTGAACAACATATCTAGAATCAAAATCGATTCAGCAATCCCTTAAAATTTTTTTATTGTATTCATTTTTATACAACGAACATGAGCAATTTTTAGATAAAAATAAAAATTGTGTTTTTACATTTAATATTTATTGTTTTAATTCAACAGAAATATTTCTGTTGCAGTAACATATTTGGTTTTTTATTAGTGACCATAAGTTGAAAAAGTTAATTAAATTTTTTTTTCTTGTAATTGACGAACAGTTTATGCTTAATAGCACGTGCCTTTAGTTAGCGATTTTTTATAAGTTAAATGTTCTGGTATATACGAATATATATGCGAATGCAAATTAAATACGGGAGTTAGTCCGATGAAAATTAGTAAATATGTCAATGGCGATTCAAAAGGACGGTTGGGTAGCAAAGAAACCAGAGAAAAGGATAAAAACATAATTGATGCATTTCTACAAGCTATAAGAGAGAAAGAAAGCTTAAGATTTCACTTTATTCAGTCAGCGATAAATTACACTCGGGTTTTGCAGAAAAGAATATCAGTGCCAGTCGAGATCGTTTTAATTCGCCGACAGCGCTGAGTTGATGTCATCCAGAAGGTGTTGGTTACGCTGTTCGCCAACATGACACTTTTACCCGCCAGACACATTCGATCTTTTAATCTCGATATTTAAAAGCGTCTGATCAACAGCTTCGTTGCACTTTTTTTTTTCTTTTTGAAAGATCTTAGATATCTTAACGTTTTATTTTCAGAGCTGAAGATTAAAATGTCAAATATATCAGGATATTTGCATAAAAATTTTTTTTTTAGAAAAATATTCGTATTCCCATAAAACATTTAACAAGTATTCATATTTTTATTGACTTTTCACATATATTTGTTATATAGGTTTATCCATTGTACTGTTTATGGGTAATCGTAATAGTACCGGTTCACAATATTGATAACCCTTGAAGGAAGAGAGATTCTGCATTACAACTGTACAGTCTACGACAATCGTGAGAAAGCTTTCGTTTCGTGAATCTTGATAGCTGTAAAACTGATAAAGTATTACATGTTATTTGTGATTGTTAACTCTCATTATTTCATAATTTAATTTGATAGATGGAAAAAGTTTGATATTACTGTTTACAGTATCCAGTTTTTTGTTTTAATCATCTCAATTGTTAATTTAGTTTTTAAGTGTCGAAATAAATAGCTTGAGAATTTTGTGATTGAAATTTACATTCATAATAAAGAACGTAACTAAAATTCAAAAATTTTTAGGTTTAACGGTAATCTTGAATTAATATTACCACTATCAATCCAAAGAAGAAATTTTCGGATGTAGTATATATATGTGTATTGTATTTTAAAACAGTAAACTGGAAGCCAGGCAAAAATAGACCCGGAAAAAATTTTAAAGTTATGAAAAATTCATATTATTTCATTGAAATTATTATAAATTAAAAATTATAATAATAATAATATCGACGTTCTAATTAGCAAATTGTCTAACTCCATTTTAGAGAATCTTCTATTTGTACGAAAAAAACAATTAGTTCAAAATTTATTATCATTTTAAAAAACCATTTAATATTATTATTATCTAATAGAGATATAATATTTAGGTTTGAATCATTCAAATAATTTATAATTTGATTATGGCTACATCAAAATGTTAAAAAATCACCCTCTAAAAAATAAGGAGTTAGACAAATTGTTAATTAGATCATCGATATATATTTTTTTTTGTAACAAAAAAACGAGCGATCATTCTGGGGGTTCTTGTTTTTCAGGAAAATTGTGGGTGTGATACAATTATTATTATTATAATTTTTATTTTATAATAATTTTAATGAAATAATATGAATTTTTCATAATTTAAGAATTTTTTCCGGTCTATTTTTTCCGATTACCACACAGAAAAAAAAATGTTCTTGAATCAAGTATATATTTTTGAAGAGCTCAATATTTTTGGTTTGAGTAGAAAAATTCTTGATTTAAAAAAATTTCTTTTGATTTAAGGAAATTTTACTTAATTCAAGAATTTTTCGTCTTGTTTCAAGACAATTACCCTCTTCAAAATTATATTTTTGGTTCAAGAATTTGTCTCTTGAATCAAGTTAATTTTTTTTTTTCTGTGCAGTGAAGTACTTTTATTTAAGAGTAAAATTTTTAAGTGTAGAATTTTTTATTTTTTATTTAAGATTTTTATTCTTTCGATTCAAGTGTTAATTTCTTGGTTCAAGAGAACTGAATATCTTAAATCAAGACTAAAATTTTTAAAAATATTTATTTCTTCAATCCAGTAGTTTTTTCTTGTATTAAATTTTTTCGGTGCATCAAAATCAATTTAAAATCTATAATTTCTGGGAATGTCACAATATTGATTATTAAACTAGCTAATAATTGAATCTCATAATACACATAATACGAATGAGATATCACCCACATACCTGACTTTTAGATTTTTACCCCATAAAATAATTCTTACTCAATATTATTTTTAAATTAAACAATACGTCTGTGAAAATTATTAACAAGAGTTATATTTTATGATGAATTTTTAATGCATACACGTGCGTTGACCACAGAATTAGTGCGTAGTATCATAACGCATTGTACTGACTTGAGTCGTCAGAGTTAGAAAGGCTGGCCATAATACATGGCACTACCCACGTAAAAAAATTTCTCAGTGCGCTAAGCTTATACTACGCACGCTAGTGTGGACACACCCAAAGAGTGTGCATAATTGACCAGGTGTATTCATGCGTTAGACTTTCGTACATTTTTGTCCTCTACAATGCGGTGCACTATTTTTTCTCTATCCACATTTAAACTAAATAAAAAATTTATTAATATACATCTAACATAATGAGATTCTTATTCTATTAACGCCTATCTTCGTTCGCAGGGTCGACATCAATAACCGATAATTATTGTTGTCTCGACACTATCGATTGCAGTAACCAGGGTTTAAAAGATGTAGATATTTAAAAAAATTGTTATGGAGTGCTTTGATGGTTATCGCAGAAATCCGAGGGCAGAGAGCACATCGCAGCCTCGATTTGCTGATGAGTGGGCGAGAGGATTGATCTTGTTTCGACGTACATATATATGTATAATCCTTCTTATAACGATCTGAGAAAATTAATCCTTTAAACTTGCCTTTTTTGATGCCTTAAAAAGCCGAAGCCATTTATGATGCTCGGTCAGCATCAAATGTTCTGTGAATATATTATATATAACTTTAAATCAATATTCATCATACATTTTTTGTGATTTACATAATATATTTTTATATGTATCTACTTAGTTGGATAAAGTAATTTTTAAATAAAATTCTGTTCGACAGATACAAATAACAATTTAAGATATTTTAACTTGAGTGTATTATTCTTAAAATGGAACGAAATGAGGATATGGTAGACGCTGATCAAAATGTTCGATGTACTTTCTTGAGTATATGATATGGATTGCATATCATATATTTGTATACCAGATTCTATATTAGTTTACTTTCAATATCGGTAATTACTAACCTATTTTTGATTTTGCCTCAGAAATTGTTTATGTTTGCATTGGATTAATAAAGAAATCATTATGATAATCTAGAAATATCTCTCAAATGTATATTATGTTTATTTATAATAGGGTGTTCTATTTGAGTAAACACTGGCTTCCTATTTTACTTTCGAAAATTATATGTTAATCAATATTTCTGTGAATGAAAAAAAATTCAAGTAGATGTTTAGAAATATTCATTATCAAATTGATTGTTAAGATGTAAATGTATCAAAGTTTTGGCTTTGGTATTTTTAATTAATTATCCAAGGATCTTTTTTGGAAGGTGTTTAAATTAAAAAAATATTGATAGTTTGATATTTTTTGATTTTGAAAATTTAAATTGAGAAATTGGATTTTTATAGCTACGTAAATTTTTTTTTTTTGTAGAAAAAAAAAAGTGACTTTACCACAAGAATCATCTTATATATTATCAAATAACAATTGAATTATATTGTAATCTCATCAATTGCAAACTTATCTAATTAATATTGATATTGTTCGCAGTAACACATCTTTACTCCAAATTACTCAACTCTGACATACTGTACTCGATAAAAATAATCGAAAAACTTAAAAAAAAAGACAACTTTACTCAATTCATTTATTACTCTATGCTAACTTTATTCAACGCTAAGTTTACTCAGTTCCAATTGTATTTCATGAAATCTTTATTCAATGGTATTTTATAAGCGATAATGACACGCTTTTAAACATCTCTATTCAACTATTTTTTGTTTAATAATATGTTTAGTTTAAATAAGTTAAAAAAAAAATTTTGCTTAATAATTTTATTCTTAAAAAATAAAATTCTATTGTTTTACAAACTTTATTCAATTTCAACTTTACTCAATTACATGTAATTTATATATCTATATATAGTAAAAAATTTTTTTTTTTTTAATTTATTAAATTATTTTATTGGAGTACAGATTGCACAGAGCTGAGAAATTTTGAGTACAATTTTGTTTTTGCCGAATAAAATATTATTAAATAAAAAAATATTGAATAGAGATTTTTAAAAGCGCGCTATCACTTATAAAATACTATTGAGTAAAGATTTCATGAAATACAGTTGGAACTGAGTAAACTTAGTGCTGAGTAAAGTTAGCATTGAGTAGTGAATGAATTGAATAAAGTTTTTTTTTTTTTAAAGTTATTCAATTTTTTATGTTGAGTACAGTATGTCGCTGAGTTGAGTAATTTGGAGTAAAGATGTGTTACTGCCGATATTACATACATAATTCATAATTTGACCAGTGTTAGCTTGATATTTTTAAAATAAACTCCTGAATTAGAACTATACTCAGGAATCAAACTCTGAAAAATTGGCTTAGTTCAGAGACGTTAGTGCAAGCTGGTTTGATTTTTACTAAAACTCATCATAAAATAAAATACTCATTGATACATAAATTGTTGTTTAATAAAACACAATTGGTAAATATTATTATTGAAAAATCATTAATTTTTTATAAGCCATTTTCGAAGTTGCTTCAAAAGATTTCATTTTTGAGATACTAGGTTGCACCAGAAAATCCTCGATATATTTTTATATATGTTAAATGTATATATATTTTTTCCGTGGGGGTAAGAACGTTTTTAACTTAGTTTTACTTGCACTCTTTTAGAC